TACGATTATTTTCATGAGGGATAATAAATAACTCTTTTATTTGAGCCGATCCGAATGATTATGGTTCAATGAAAATCAAGTAATTTTAAGAATGCACTAACTTGTTTGAGTTCGCCCATTAATTCTCCATAATTAGCACTCTGATCTAGTCTCGCGCACGGTCCAACGATATCCAATTCATTGAGCAGTTTCTCCAAAGCCTCCTTCCGATCTTTCCATTTAGACGATCCAAGTAATTCAAAGAAGTCTTTCGGGAGCTTCGCTAAGATATTAATTTGCGCCATCGACCTCAAAGCAACACCATGCAAAAACGGAAATTTCCATTCACTGCAACGAATGAAATCGAACGAAAAATATGAATGATGAGCACTTCATAACACAAAAAGAAACAATTCCGGCTGAGTAACATGACAGAAATATGAAGAGCTATCTCCTGGGATGATACTCCAGATAACAATTAGAGCAACGAAATGAGTTCAATGAAAAAACGCCGTAAAATACATGCAAATTACTCGTCGTAAGTATAAGAAAGTTGCCTTCGCAATCATCACGGTTAATATATCTCAACCCTGCAAGATTAATCGTAGAAATTTATTGGTAAATGAGACGGTAATAAATACAACATGTCGTCAAGAAGTGGTTGCGATTCAAGAAGAGAAGAACGTTTACGGAAAATTACTCGCGCTAGTGTGAACGTATGTTCTACACCGAACATATTCATTCATTCACCTCGTAAAACCGTCTTCACAAACGCTTTCAACTGAAATATCACAAACTCGCAGACTTTCCATCCACCAAAAATCACATTTCGCAATGTGATATTCTCATTCGAATCACATCATCGAACGTTATTACCATTAGTCATAAGCGACAATTTCTGCATTAAAAATGGAAGGTGTGATCGAACAGCCAGGGGCGGAGTCAGCGAAGAGCATGCGCTATCGCAGATCAACAGTGATTGAGCGCTTGAATGAGGCAAATTTATACCAACAGTATACCGGAAAAGCACCGTTTTGGAGGATAATGCATTGCAGAGTGATTAGAGAAATCGTGACCATTTTCTAGGGAATAAAATTCTCCACCATATGAACCATATTGTTCTGAAAAATATCCATTAAAAAAAATTGAGCGGTCTCAAAGTCGAAAATATTAGGCAAACGTGGAAGTCACATTTATGTAGGACCCAAGTTCAGGTTATAGGAACAAGATTCGAACTCTTACATGCTCTCCCATGCTTTGAGAGGTGTGAAAACCGCTGACGCGCCCCACTCCCTCCTTGTCTTCATGCTGCTTTGGTACACGCCCATTGGCTGGTTAGGACGACGTCAAATGGAAAATCGCCACTACGAATGTGGTGAATCGTATTACGTTCGCATGAACTGAAATAATGACAATAAAAAATAATTTGTGGTGCACAGGCGGGTTTGTGGAGATATATTTTTGTGTTAGTAATCTCCACAAAAAATTGGAATTATAATGAACCTCA